ACCACGATTGCCCGAGATGACGGAACCATTGAAACTTGATCGGGTCCATTATCCATTCCCCCACCATCCGCTTTAAGTGCAAGATTGTGATATTTCAATTTTAAGTATCAAACTTCTCAAATATCTCAAGACAAATTTTAAAACATCCAAACTTTTCAAATATCTATGACCTTGCTGCTACTATATTTCAGATAACACGTATCTCTATGTATCTGATTGACGACTAGCCTTAATCGAAAGTTATCTCTCGTTATCGGGAGGAGTAATTAACCATAGGGGCTTGCGCCTATAGGAAACCAGAACTCAAATCATAAAGTTCTCGCAAAATGAGGACGAAATCTTTGGGTAGTGTCTTATCTACAAATCCATCTACCTACCAAAATTTACCCCGGAATTTAATTCCGTTAAAACTCCCCCGAAGAAAAGCAAAGCAAGCAGAGGCCGGGGACGAATTTTTGGAGCCCACATATTCTGATCTTTATTGTTGGACACTGCTACACTCATCACTAACCATTTCATGCACATCAGTTAGTGAGCTATTATATTCGTCACACTTATCGTACACCTTTTGAATTCCTCTTATGAACATAATGTCGCATTTGTTGTGGTTATCCTTGCTCTATTGTAGGTGTGGTTAGTGTGATCATTGTGCCTTGGCCGTAATAGTTCATGGATGGGATATAGTACGCATCCAAACTTCCATTTTGTTGGTTGCAATTGAATTATATATTTCCTTCAACTCCATTACTTGATGGATGTGAGTGAGCTGCTTGGTGTTCTACCTATCATAAATTGTAGTGGCATTCATTGAGGATTCTTGCATACTTACTTGCAATCAAGCTGTATGTATATACCTTCTTGATTTCTATTGTTTGCGGGGTTGAATGCATTTACTTGTATGTTGGTGCTGCCCGCAGAATATTGTTATATTCACTGTACGTTGATCTTATGTTGTAAACAACATATGTATTCATGACCTTTACTGCTTTTAAGATGATTGTTATGCTCATCTATGAGTTACTTGATGTCGACAACATAACATAGTTGCATCCATTGCATACCTTCCTATATCCATAAGAATTTCCATGCATACTTCTAAAATGGCTAATTGTATGAATGTCATCATGCTCATGGCTCAACTACTGTCGTATATTTCAACAGGTATTGTCATATGTAGGCGAATTATCACAACTTCTACAATCCTTATTGATTGTCAAATATAGATGGGCACGTTTCTATGACTTTATGATCAAGCCATACTTAAAATTCTTTATCCCTCGAAATGGCTCGCAACATGTATGTGATGAACTTAACACACTCGATCATTAACATTTGTCATCCGGTTGAAGTGACAATTGAAGATTTTTTTATTATCAGTTATGAGCATGCCATTGCTTTTGCATGTCGATTATGTTTAGATAACTTCCTCCATAAGTCTCCTGTAGTCCAACACAATTCTTTGTTTGAGTTCAAATGTTCAAATCATGTCGGTTTAATGATAAGTTCAAGTTCAAATTGGATTTAAATTAGGTCCTTGTCATTACATTGAGTTCAAGTCTCATTCAATGTCATGTTTTAGTCGAGTCTTTTGTGATCTACACCAAGTTTTGTTTGGATTCAAATTGTTCAATTCATGTCCAATGTGTTATTTACCAAGTTCAAGTTCAAGCTCGAGCTCGTCTTCTTCAAACTCTAATCCAAGTTTGAGTTCAATGTCATTATAGCTCATATCACATTCGAGTCCAAATCTTCATTGTCCAAATCAAGCTTGTATTTATTCATTTGAGTACAAATTGTATCATCATTAATTGTTTAGGCGAAATTATGAGAAATTAGGCCTTCCCACCATGCTAAAAAAAGCATGTATGATAGGTGTCCTCAAACACCGTGGCCGTAATCTTCTTCCCCCACCAGACTAAAAAAAGGGTGTATGGGTATTCTACAGCACCTATTTGAAAACACAATTTTTCCTAGTGTACAGGTACTTGTAAGTATCCCCACCTCGTCATTAGCCTCGCACTGGGTTCCCTTCTCACCACGCTAAGAAAAGCTTATATAGGCGACTTTCTAGTGTGTTGCGAATGTCGAAAACGAGGGTTTTGATGATTACTCATTTCATCGCAAGCATCGCAACAAACTTTCTCTCTCCATGCTAAGAAAAGCGTATATAGGTGGTTGTTTTGTCGGGCAGCAAGCTTCGAGGGTTGGCATGAAGATTTTTGTATTATCGGCTATGAGCATGCCATTGCTTTTGCATGTCGATTATGTTTAGATAACTTCCTCCATAAGTCCCCTGTAGTCCAACACAATTCTTTGTTTGAGTTCAAATGTTCAAGTCATGTCGGTTTTAATGATAAGTTCAAGTTCAAATTGGATTTAAATTAGGTCCTTGTCATTACATTGAGTTCAAGTCTCATTCAATGTCATGTTTTAGTCGGGTCTTTTGTGATCTACACAAGTTTTGTTTGGATTCAAATTGTTCAATTCATGTCCAATGTGTTATTTACCAAGTTCAAGTTCAAGCTCGAGCTCGTCTGCTTCAAACTCTAATCCAAGTTTGAGTTCAATGTCATTATAGCTCATATCACATTCGAGTCCAAATCTTCATTGTCAAAATCAAGCTTGTATTTATTCATTTGAGTACAAATGGTATCATCATTAATTGTTTAGGCGAAATTATGGGAAATTAGGCCTTCCCACAATGCTAAAAAAAGCATGTATGTTAGGTGTCCTCGAACACCGTGGCCGTAATCTTCGTCCCCCACCACATTAAAAAAAGGGTGTATGGGTATTCTACAGCGCCTATTTGAAAACACAATTTTTCTCAGTGTACGGGTACTTGTAACTATCCCCACCTCGTCATAAGCCTCGCACTGGGTTCCCTTCTCACCACGCTAAGAAAAGCTTATATAGGCGACTTTCTAGTGTGTTACGAATGTCGAAAACGAGGGTTTTGATGATTACTCATTTCATCGCAAGCATCGCAACAAACTTTCTCTCGTCATGCTAAGAAAAGCGTATATAGGTGGTTGTTTTGTCGGGCAGCAAGCTTCGAGGGTTGGCTCTCGGAGTTTTAAGGTTTAAAGGGGTTATACCTTGGTGACCGACGACGTGGAAGGCACAAAAATCAACATTTTTTTATCATTCTTTGTTTTTCTTTCTTTTTTTTTCCTTTTTTTCTCTCCCTCTCTCTTATTTTTTTCATTTCTCTTTTTTTATAATGATATCATAATGATAATCAATAAAAAAATAATAATATAATTATTGTAGTTGATAATAATAATCATTATCAATAATTATATAATAATCATTATCATTAATAATAATTATAATAGCATAATTACTATGATTAATAATAATTATAATTATCAAAATTATGTTGACACAAATATCATAATTAATAATAATTATAATTACTAACAATTAAAATAACATAATTATTATAACTATCAATAATTATAATAATGACTAATATAATTAATAATAGTTATAATAACTAATCATAATCATTCTCTCTCTCTCTCTCTCTCTCTCTCTCTCTCTCTCTCTCTCTCTCTCCCCCTAAATATTGGGGAAGGTGAAGTTGTGTTCGGATGGCAGTCGAGAGCAAGAGATTTGGGAAATCGGGAAGATCAAGGTAGAGATGAGTATGGAGGTTGGCTTCAGCTTCAGAAGAGGCGTCGGAATGCTTGCATACAGGAGGTCGCAAGAGTCGCAGGGGTTTTACGTGAGAAGAGCACAAGAGTTGAATGTCCTCATTCTTTCTCCTTTTAACGTCGCTGAAGAGCAGGGTAGAAGCTGGTTACGCACGTAAGGATGTGACCAATCGGTGCTAACTTGCACAGGAAATGATTATTGTAGCTGGGGCTAGGTCTCGGCAGAGATACGGGCATGGCTTCAGGACAGCTAATGATTCAAACCTTTTTATTATTATATCTTTTTTGTTTCTTTCCCTTTGGCTGTGGCATGGAGGTCAACAAATGCCCCCCAATAAATGTGATACGCGTCCAGAGCGAATCACATTTATTACATGTTGGTTGACCCTGTGGATCTCCAGATATTTGCTCTGGATGTCACATAGTGGTTCTATTTAGCGGATCTCCTAAAGCTTGTTTAGATGTCATGCTAAAGGCTTCATTTTGTAGATCTCCAAGAGTCTATCTTTGTGCCCTTATAGATCTTTGTATGCACTTGTAGTCAAAAATTTGATTGACATGTTATCTCTTGTCAGGTTTAGATCCATATGAAAATGATAGGGTGCAGGATGCTTCATACTTAGGTTCTAAGAATATCACTTTGTAGATTGGTGGTAGTATATAACATTGCCACTTTCTGTTCACCGTTTTCCACTACTCTCACACTAGTTTCTAATATTTTTATAATTACTCAATATCTTTCTCTGTGGCAATCATGCATAGATGTAATATTTCTATTTTATATTGCTGATATCGTTCAAGATTTATCTGAATTTTGCAGCTTCATCAGCTGGTGGGACTTCGCTTTCTCTTATACTGATTGTAGCTGAAGAGAGGGGTAGAAGCTGGCTACGCAAGGATGTGACCATTCGGCGCCAACTTGCATAGGGAATGATTACTGTAGTTGCAGCTGGGTCTCAGCAGAGATACAGGCATGGCTTCATGACAGGTAATGATTCAAACCTTTTAATTATTATATCTTTTTTTGTTTCTTTCCCATTGGTTGTGGCATCGAGGTCAACACCACTTAATCCTTGTGCATAATACAAAGAAACAGCTTTTTGATTTCCATCATAAAAATAATATTAAAATATTTAAACCTGTAATAATAGTTAGGACATGAAGTAAAGAAGAAGGAATAAAGCCCTGAATTTTACAGTTCTCATCTTCTCAAGAGCCATGCAACATGAATGCTAGTGTTTTGTTTTTCTTTTTCTACAGGGCAGGGTGAGGGAGTAGAGAGGACGTGGGGTTCCCAAGGACAAATCTAGCTAAGCATGATAAACAGTAAGAAAGAGTTCTTACTGGAATTCGAATCACATCCTCCCTTTTCCATCCAAGTGAATTGTACACAAGAACAACCTACAAAATGGTTTTTAGTAGCTCAAAAAGTTTCTGTAAAGATTACCATATCTGACAAAAGTATTATGAAAAATTAACCATGTTACCAAGCTTTTTCCCTGAGAGAGTTCTGCTTCTGAGGGAGGACAGTAACTTATATTCAGAAGCGGACACTAGACAGTAGAAGAAAAAAAGGAACAAATAATCACTAACAAAGAAAATCCAGAACGATGCTAATGCTACTTATGTGAAGCAGATTCGTACACTATTCCAGCAGATAATTTATCTAATCGATAGGCCAAATTCCAAAATAAACGGAAAATATGAAAAGTTTATGAAGATGCAAAGGTTCATCAGGGCAATACGTTAAAATAAACATCAACTAAATTTTCTATACTAATCAATAGCCAAAAAACTTACTTTTGCCTATAACATAAGTAGGATAAAATATATCATCAGACGTCTGTAACTTAATACCTCATAATATATCTTAACATCATAATATATCTTACCATAAAACAGAAACAGCGCCCAAGCAGCAGATTAAGGCTTCAATTGGGACGGCTTTTTTATTGCTTTAAAAAAAGTTTTAGTAAAATTTTTTACTAAAATTTCACTTTAAGAAGCAATAAAAAAGCCATCCCAAACGAAGACTAAGGCTTCGTTTGGGACGACTTTCTTATTGCTTCTTAAAGCACCTTTCATGTTCAAAAGTTTTAATTTTTGAACTAAAACGCTGCTTTAAGAAGCAATAAGAAAGCCGTCCCAAACAAAGCTTAAGTTAGATGGCTGAAAGAGATGTTTTAGAAGATTGTAAATAAACTTTTAGGAAGAAAACTACTGGAATAAGTATTAATCATGTCACTAAAAAAATCTAGCTTTCAAGAAAATTACCGATGAAACCTATATATCATGACCAAGATTGTTGGCCCATTGTCTTAAAGATGGATGCTTTAGAAGACGGTAATTCAACTTCTAGGATGAAATTTGGAGGGTTTGGATTTCACATAAGTACAATTATTGAAAGCTTTATCTACAATGGATTCATACTTGACTCCTTATCCAAAACTTCATAAAATGGGCTCCGAACATTTTGGCTTTTGGGGCCCAATCTCTCCACGCTATTTTGGGGAAAGTTTTAATAGATTAAATTCCGATAGAAGTTTTTGGAAGGTAAATTAGATACAGATAAGACGCTACTTAGATATTTAACATTTTAACCTTCATATATTATACCCAAAATTTTTCAAAATGCTAAGTTTAAATTTTTCCCAGAAAATTATAACCTATTTTTTGCACATTTCAAAATTCAGTGAAATAACTTTTATTTCATTCTACACATCATTACGATTATTTTCATATATAGTAATGTATAAAATAATCAACAAAAATCAATTTACACATATAATTGCAGTTTCCTAGAGTTTCTAATTTAATTTTCCTGCACATCTTTTGACATATTGAAGCAGCCCGATTTTTCTTTTTTTTATCTTTTGTGATTAAGACTGCGGACTTATTAAAAAAATTATTAACTAAATTCTATAAATAAATGCATATAACCTTTAAGCCAAAATTAAATTCTATCTATACTCCTCTGTCTCCCTTAACAAAGCACCAGAAGGCAGAAGCAGCTATTAGTTTGGGTATTATAGAGAAGACACTGTAGCATGGGAAATGTAGCAACCACGAGTACTATAACAGAGGGAAATTTGATTATCATCGGTTATACATTCATGCTCAACATCACTATATTTTAAAAAAAAATACGATTGATAATGAAAGTTGAGAAAAGTCAGATAGGCCAACAAGTGATGAACTGCACAAAGAAAGACAAAAGATCAGATGAGGTAAGCCTTTATAAGGACCGTTGTAGAAGAGACTCGACTCTCTCTTCTAAACAGATAGTGTTTTGAGATGCAACCATAAAGAGAAGGGCCATTAATAAATGATTAGTCTGCATGTTAAGTGATGCCTATTATGAATGGAAAAGCCTATAGTCATAATATGACTTTTCTAAAACAATGTACAAGAATGAAATAACAATTAAATGCGAAAAAACCTGAAAGATTTCATATAATAATTTCACACTATTATGCATTCATCATTCACTAAAATGAGATACAATTTATTCATTCATCAAAATGTATACTGATAATTATTTTTTCTTTCAACGCTTTCTCTTTTTCAAAACCAAGGTATGATATGGTTCTGCTTAAGACTCTTGCATTAATTCAAATATTAATAGGCATATTGATTGCTTCTTATTCTTGTATATTGAAACTTATATTAGAATTGTTTCTCCCACTGAACATTTAACTCATCAGTTATATATTGCAAGAAAAGAAAAGGAGCCAATGAGGCTTTACCGAAGATGATCGACTGCACCTTGTATACAGTCATTTTTTTATGTGTGGTCTTGGGGGTAGATAGAGAGTTGTTCAATAAGTTGTAAATTAAAGATTGAGTATGCACAATTTTATTTAAAGTTTTTAGATAAGCTTTAACACTGTCATTGTCATGTCCCAAGTCCTAGATGAAAAAAGAAGATGTGCGATAGGTAGTCGACAGTCATGGTTTAAAATTGCGCAATATGAGCCTCACCTTTGCACAATTCCAGTAAAAAACGCCTCGATGCTTACGCCTCGAGCTTTTTTAATGAGGCTTGCACCTCAACTTGGTTGAGGCCCGCCTCGCCTCACTGGCATGAGGCTTACGTCTCACGCTATATATATTAAAAATTACATAAATTTTGAAGTAAATGCCCGACATTGGACTCTATAGGAGAGGAGGAAAGGGAGAGAGCAGTTCATCATAATGATGATTCAAATGAAAAACCCCTTAGTGATGACAGTGTTGATGATTTATGAGTTCTTATGTGATATGTCATTGCTATTTGTTTTTGGAAATTGGAATTATATGTTAATGAAAAGAATATTGGGATTTGGGAAAGATAGAATTTTGAGTTGAACTATATTTCATGTTGTCTTATTCTTGGGATATTTTTATTTCAATTCATATCTTATGCTTTTTTATGTTTTATATTATTCACTCATTAGTATATAAAAAATTTATCATTTTATGTTTACGCAATCTTTTGATTTTGAGGCTTACGCCTCAAAACGTCTTGAGGCTTGCGCCTCGCCTCACAAATGAAAAACGCCTCAATACCCGTATACGCAATTTTAAACATTGTCGACAGCTAGTGCAAAATTTGTCGAATAATCATAATATGAATCCTTTAATACAATATGTTAATGCTAAGACGTTGTCTGGAAGCGACGTGTTGTATGGCTTAAATACAACGATAAGTGAGAAAGGGTCACTGCACCGGCGCCCATGTGTAGTATTAAATAAGCAAGGGTTCCCACATCATGGACGGATGTGGGAAAATAAGCTAGTCCATAAAATAAAAATTATGATAGGAACTTGGAATATAAATTCTCTTACAAACAAATTAATAGAATTAATAGATATTATGATCCATAGTAAGATAAATATTCTATGCATTCAGGAAACTAAATAGGTTGAAGAGAAGGCAAAGGCAATTCGTATTTTGGGATTTAAACTATGATATTTTTGGAGTCATACTAGAAATGGTGTAGGTGTGATTATAGATAAGAGTTTGAATGATAATGTTGTAAAAATTAAAAAAATTAGAGAAAGAATTATAACTTGTAAAGATTATTATTGATGCTAGATTATTAATATTATAAGCGCTTATGCTCCTCAAATTCATTTTGATAAGTGTTTAAAATTAAAATTTTGAAATGACTAACAAAAATTAATACAAAATACATCTCTTGAAGAAAGAGTTTTATTGTAGGAGATTGAAATGGACATGTTGGTAGAGAGGTAAATAATTTTAAAAGTATTCATGATGGATATAGCTATAGAGCGACTAATGATAGTGGTAAGATCATATTAGATTTTTCTTTAGCTTATGATTTTGTAATTGTCAATACCTTATTTAAGAAAAGAGATGACCATCTCATCACTTATAAGAATAGATATAATAAATCTCAATTTCATTATTTTATTATAAGAAAAATATATCGTTTAGATTGCAAAGATTATAAAATTATTCCAAGTAAAAATTTATATATCCAACACCGCTTATTAGTTTTGGACTTTAAGATGAAGGGGCAGAAAAAAGAAACTAAAGCAAATTATTGTTCTAGTTTAGATGGGGCATTTAAAGATATTAACAACAATATTTTTAAGAGAAAGATTCTAAATCTTAAGATTTTATCTGTGTATGAGAAAGCTAATATTATGTGTGAACAAATAGCTCGTGATATTAAGAATATTATAAAAGATGTGTTTGGAGTATCAAAGGGAAAAATTATTAATAGTAAAAAAAGTTGGTGATTGAATCAAAATATGCAAGAAAATATAAAAGTTAAGAAAATTTGTTGTAAAAATTGATTTAACTGTAATAATTTGGATAATTGGGAAAGATATAAAGAGGCTCGTAAAGAGTCTAAGAAAGTAATTTGTAATGCAAAGACTCTAACGTTTAATGATTTATATAATAGATCAGATACTAAGGATATGTATAAATTAGCTAAACAACGAGATCGAAGTAAGGATTTCGTTCAAGTGAAGTGTATTAAGGATGAAAATCAAAAAATATTTTTATTAGAAGAGGATATTCAATAAAGAGGGATGAGATATTGTGCTAAAATTTTAAATAAAGATTATAATAATGCAATTTACTTTAGTGACTTTAGCATCCTAAAAAAATATCTATTTTTTGCTTTTATTGGCATATTAGTAAAACCGAAGTTAAAGAAACTTTAAAGAAAATAAAGTTCGAAAAAGCTTTTGGATCTGAAGATATTTCAATAGAGGTGTAGAAATGAGTGTGCTAATTCCTATTTTTAAGAATAAAGGTGATGCACAATATTGTGTGAATTATAGATGAATTAAGTTAATGTTCGATACTTTAAAACTATGGGAGAGAGTTATGGAGCATAGGTTGCGAAATGACACTAATGTTTCTCATTATCAATTTGGATTCATATCAAGTAGGTCTACTATGGAAGTTATACATTTATTGAGAGGTTTGATGGAGAAGTATAGAGAGAATAAGGAGGATTTACTTATGATTTTTATTAATTTAGAGAAAACATATGATAAAATTCCAAGAGAAGTGCTATGGAGAGTTCTACGT